CCGAAAGCCTTTCTCGCCCACAAGCCAAATCTAACACCCTCTTTCGAAAAGGTTACTTATCGTACGTTACACGAGGTTTAGAATTTTGGAGCGACAGAGTCGCAAACTTCCGAACCCAACAGTATGCACTCTTTCGCTTAATAAAACCTTCTTTTAATCAAATACAGTTCGACTAGTTAAGTACAATATTTATCAGTATTGTCATGTTTATTCGGTTCTAAATTAATAAGTATCCAATATTATGACTAGTTATGAAATATGAATCACATTTTTTTGGAGGTTGCTACGCGTTAATCGAAGATATTTAGAACCACAAAACTTCGTAGAAAAAGTTAATTTACTTCTAGAAAATGGCAAAAATAGTTATAATTTTTACATGCAAGTCGTTAAGAAAATAAATGAATGATTAAAAAAAGTAATACATTTAACTGTCAAGAGAAATTTTCATTTAATATTAAAACTTAAAATCGATAAATTCGGTCACTTGATTGTAATATTTTTCAAATTATAGGTAATTGTTTTCATTTCGAGCCCTTATACGTAATTATTTTCATTTTTCGGGCTCTTATATGTAATTTCCCCATAAAACTAATATAATTATCATGTCAAATCCATCTTCCAACCTTGAAACCATTCTTTTTTTATCATTAAAATTTTTACCGTTAAAATTCATTCCTTATAAATATATTTATTCCACGTTTCTATATGATCACATGACGGAGGTTCGCAATCTCTTTATAGCCATGTTTTTGTCGTACTGACTAAAGATATTTGAATCAAAAACGTCGTCATGACATCATATATGAAACGAATAATAACACCTTTATTTCCTGCTACGGGGGAATAAACCAGTAAATCTCAATCAACCGGGGCCCGAAAGGCCCCCGGGAAATAAATAGTACTTATAGTCAAATGGTTTGACTCATGTTAAACATCAATCAATCATAATACGTCATAATTTAGAATAAACATTCACGAATTTTGTGTAACAGAATATTCGCTTTAATATTCATTCTAAAATCTGACCGAGTTTCACCACCATTCATCAAGAGTTTTACCAGTTTCACAGCGACTCTAGTATTTCAAATGAGGTGATTAATTGAAATATATATTTTTATATACAAGATTTTTTGCTCGTAAACTTTCGTATTCAAAATGGGAAAAAATAAAATCATTGAAGATTTGTGTAAATTCTATAACAAAGAAAGTACGAAAGGAACGAATACCAAATTAATTCTTGACCTAATAGATAAGTTTTTAGTAGAAAAACATCAAAATTCAAAAGATGTAATCACCTGGTGTTTAAATAATGATCAAAACTCTACAATCCAATGTATTCTTGCGGATTGTTATCGTTTTGGTAAATGGATTAAAAAAAATGAAAGCAAACAATTTATTTATTATAAAAAATCTGCTGAGAGAGGACACGATATTGGAATGTATAAAGTTGGTTGCTGCTATCAATACGGAGTTGGAGTTGAAAAAGACGAATGTAAGGCATTTGAATATTATGCGAAGGTAGATGATATGGGACATCGTGGTGGATCAAATAATCTTGGTAATTGCTATCGATATGGAATTGGAATAGAAAAAGATGATGATAAAGCATTCACTTATTATCAAAAATCAGCAGAAAAGGGTCATGCTGGTGGATTAAATAATCTTGGAAACTGTTATCGACACGGAATTGGTGTAGAAAAGGATGATGATAAAGCGTTCAATTATTATCGAAAGGCCGTAGAAATAGGGCATGACAAAGGATTTAATAATCTTGCCAAGTGTTATCAATATGGAATCGGTGTAGAAAAGGATAAATATAAAGCATTCAATTATTATAAAAAATCCGCTGAGCTTGGAAATGACGGTGGATTAAATAATTTTGGAAATTGTTATCGGTATGAAATTGGTGTTAAAAAAGATGAACATAAGGCATTCATTTATTATCAAAAAGCAGCTGAGAATGGACATAGTAGTGGATTAAATAATCTTGGCGATTGTTATCGGTATGGAATTGGTGTTAAAAAGGATAATTGCAAAGCATTTATTTATTATAAAAAAGCAGCTAAGATTGGACATTCTAAGGGAATAATTAATGTTGGTAATTGCTACCGAAATGGAACTGGTATGCAAATAAACTTAAAAAAAGCCAATTATTTGCACAAAAAGTAAGCATATAATTTGATATTTTTATTGTCGTTATTTACAATGGTAATGTTTTTATGATTAAGATTATTAATTTGACGCAGAAACTCATTATCAGGTAACTTATTTATTATCTGTTAATTTGCAAGTATAACCATATTTTAATTATTTTAATTCCTTCAGTTACAAACGAATGGGAGTGTAATTTTGACATTGATGATGATGACTTAAAAAAAAATGCTTATTGAAAATAAATTATTGTAGATTCCTTATAATAAATTTAAAAATGTCAAAAAGGTAGGGAAAGGTGGATTTTCGACCGTATTTCATACACAGTGGTTGTATGAAGATCGGAAGGAAATATCTGTCGCACTTAAGTTACTTCATGGATCGAAATATCATCAAAAAGTATTTATAAGAGAGGTAAGTTTGATAAATAGTATTTCAGATAAATTATTCTTAATATCTATAATATATCTTTACAATCTAATTCTTATTTTTTTAACAAATAAAGTTAAAGACACATTGTGATACCTGTAATAAAAACCCGACTTTCTTAAAGTGCTATGGATTATCAAAACATGACAAATCTGAAGATTACATGCTTGTCATAAAATATGCACAGATGCATTCCTTACGTGATAACCTTCAATCGATATCACTTATGAAGTGGGAAAAAAAGTTGAATTTGCTATATTGCATTGTGTCTGACCTTCAAATCATTCATTCTCAAAACATTATTCACCGAGATTACATAGTGGTAATATTTTACAAGACAACTTACATAGTGCATACATTGCAGATTTAGGACTTTCAATATCTGTGTCGTTAAATGCAGAAAGACATAAAGTTTGTGGAATTTTACCATATATTGCACCAGAATCTTTGTTTGAAGGGCAATACGCAGTAGCATCTGATATTTACTCATTTGGAATAATTATGTGGGAAATTTTATATGGAAAACCAGTATCTTATAATCAGGAATTTGGATCTCAGCTTCAAATGCAAATATGCATAAATGATTTAAGGCCAATTATTAGCGAGAACTCTCCACAATGTTATATAGATCTAATGAAGAAATGTTGGAATAAAGAACCAAACAACCGTCCATCAGCAAACCAAATTTGTGAATGCCTTAAAAAATGGCAGAATGATAAAAATATTTTATTAAAATTAAATAAATCAGATGAATTATTAAAAAATGCCAATAGTATCGAAAGTGCATACCCTGTTAGCATTTATACCTCATCTAAGCCGAATGAAATCTTAAACGGCATTGGCGTCAAAAATGCATCTTCTGATAGTATCTTATTACAAAAAGGTAATTATATTTACATATTTAATCAAATTTTGACATGTATCTAATATTAATCATAATTTATTTAACAGGTAGCAAATTGATTGAAGTAGATATTGAACAATAATATGATGCATAAATAAAAGGTACACGATTATTTATCCAGTGTGTAAGGCATAATTAATGTCGCGGATGATCGTGAAATCGGATGATGCTGAAATCTGAGGTCCTGATTTTAAAATATAAGCCCTTCTAAAATCCATATATACTTTTTAATTATTAATTCTAACCCTAAATCCTAACCTAATCCAAAAAAAACGGTTAAAAATTTTTTAAAATTTCATATCAAAATAAGTCAAAATTTCAGCATCATCCATAACTGAATAGTTAATTTCTAGTAAATTTGCCTAATATTTTGTATTTTGTTGCTTTAATATTTTTTAGTTTCTAGCATTTTGATATTTCTAATTTAAGTTAAAACCAAGTTTCATTAAAATTTAATTAAGCAGTATCAGATATATTTTTAATATCCATTTATCATAAAAATATTTTTCCTAATTAAAGTAAATTATAATTGTTCAGTCAAAAAAATGCTTGACATTAATAACTACTATTGAACCTCCCAAAACTGATCCTGTAAATCTGATAAAAAATTAATTTACAGTCGCACTCCTCTATAATCACCTCCTATATAACCACAAATTCTATATAATCACTTTCAATTTTAAAAAAATTTATTAATGATTGAACCCGTCTTAAAAGTACAAACTGTGTTACCCGAAGGGTAGACCGGGTAGACAGGCAGGTCTACCCGGCTACAAAGATTACCCGTCAAACCCGGGTCATAATAAAAATTTATTAAATCTTTGAATACTATGCCATATACAAGATCTTGATAGATCCTGCTCTAACCTAAATATTCGAAGTTTTTATTATAAGTATGAATGTAGTTGACATATAATCGTTATCAATGTTATAAAAAGTTAAAACGGTATAGTCAATAACTCTAAATTCAGAGCTGTTGATTTTTGAAAGTACATCTAGTGTCATTCGGTAAATCGGCGAGTTTGTCGCTAATTCCTTCCAATTCTCGTGTAACCTACGGTGGCTAAGTCGAAACAGGCGTGTTAGATTTGGCTGGTGGGTTCTTATCCGTAGGTAAGTACTAGTCTCCTCTTTAAGTCTTTCCTTCAACCTATTCTTCCATTAACCTTTGCCTTCTCTTGTCTTCTTTTGTATACCTCAACCCGGGATTACAATACTTCGAATCGGGGTTGGAACTCTTCTATTACTTAACGGCCTTCATTGTCACGTGACTTACGGCGAACGATAGTGATAACGATGGGATTAACGATAGTTTATTAGTTTGGATTGAGTTATAGTTTTACTTTTACTTTTACTATGGGTCGGATACTAGTTTTATGTATTGCAAATGTATTTACTTAGGAGTATCGCTTGTTACTTTCCCCTTGGTGGAAAGCCCTTTATTTATAATAAGTTTTATTTACGTTCGAGGTTAATTTCCTCTACATTGCTTCTTTACACTATAACTTCATTAAAACCCTTATCATGCTATCATAAAGAAACGGATATTCTATATGCTGTTGATCTACCCGAAGTAATAAAAGTAACAAAAGAAATAAAAGTAAGAAAAATATAGATTTCTCTTACTTTTCATGTGACCAATTACTCGGGACCTAAAAGCGACGACCGATCACATGTGACCGTGATAACATTTCGGGGCTCACACCAGTTTGGCCCGAAATTGGCCAGCATTAGAGTATAAGGTAGGCCGATTTTATGACAAGATTCCGTGTAACCAATTGAAATTTCTTCAAAGGTGAAAATGCTAGATTATGCGAATTTCTTTAAATTAAAATTGGATATTTTATGTGCCGTAAGGTAAATTATGCGAATATTATGTCTAATCATGATCTTGGACACTCTAAGGTGGACCCGCAGGTTGGCCCACGGGTGACCCATAGGTCAACCCATCCAAGCCTATCCAAGTGGACATAATCATAACCCGGATATCTGACCCACCTAGGTATACCCGGTCAGCCCTACCTGGATTCAATCACTAAATGAACTTACAAAAATACTTATATATAAGCACATCATAATAGAATTTTTATAATCACATTTTTTTTTGCATAGAACACACTAAGTGATTATAGAGAGTATGACTGTACCAAGTGTATTTATATTATATAAATCCAATAGTTTATGATGATTAAAATCTGATACCTCTCAACACTGGCATAAACTTGGAAGGTTTCAAAGGGTATTGTTTATGGCGATTGCAATAAAAAGGGTAAATGGTACCGGGACTAACATGATTAAAAGTTATACAGGCAAATACGAACACTAATACTATTCAAAAACTGCTATACCTAAACCCTAATAATGAAAGGTTTGAATGAAGCGTGAAAGATTTGGTCCGAATAATTAGGGATTAGGATCTTGGATTAGTATTCTAGATTACGTTGTGAGAACTATCAGACTATTGGATTATTTATTGGGGAATTATTAAATCGAAATACTTTATTTGGGACTTTAAATCATTGCTGAAGTGAGGATGTAGTGTTTTTATAGTTACGCATTATTAATATGACATTATGAACATCTTCACACCCAAAAAAGTTTCGAAAATCATGTGCGATTGTCAATTTATCATTTATCTGTTATTAAAATATTAACATAATTGATTTAGTGATTTTTTTTTCTTCGATTCTTTAAAGTGAAAAGTGATTGTTAAAAGTTAAAATCCAATAAACTCACTATTCTAAATATATATGATTGTCGTAACCGAATTTCCATTAACAATAAACCAAAAAAAAGAATGAAAATCGAAATATAATTATAATCAAGAAAACGCAATTGAACTAAAAAATCTTGTAGATTTTATTTTTAATGCTCTTCCGGAAGATCATAATTTTGATTATTGATTTGAATCCAGGACGCAGCAACGAAACATTATTGAAAAAAACAAATTGTAATAAATGCTTGATAGTATTAATGAAAACTTTGTGCCATTGCATAAATTGGATTATAATCATTTTAAAAGACAATGGGAGATTATTTTCTGGCTATAATGTTACGTTTATTGAGCTATTCGAAATAAATAAAATATAAAATGATTAATTTATTACTTATCGTTATTATTTTGTTAAGTTACATGAATTTTTTAGTGCTCGATATATTTGCCATGTGATGTTCGAAACTTTTTGGGTGGCGATATACTGTATTCCTATACTGTAAAACTCGAAACAACGCGCAGGGATGAAATTACAAGTTTCGGTCTAAGTTATGCTTAATTCAGGCCAAGCTTTGAAATCTTTCCATGTTGGCTGTAAGAGCTTTTTTGTTTTCAGTAGCTGGCTTGATTTCTTTTCCAAAATAAAAGTCAAAAAGATGTTTCTTAAAAAAGTTAAATAGGTTATGAGAGAATTGTATTTGTCATTTTGTATTGTTTTTTATTTTAGTTATAATTGGAAAGTTAGTTAATCAGTCAAATATTGAGTTAGCTTTGATTTTGATATTGGAGGTAGAGATTAGTTTTGTTAAGATTGTTGTTGTTGTTTTTATTCTTGTTTCTGTTATTGTTATTGTTATTATTATTGTTATTGGTTTGTAGTTGTTGTATTATCAATATTCATGTCAACATTTTTATAATCTTGGTTATTATTGAGTAGTGTAAGAGAATCAAATTGAGAAGTAAGTGGGTTTTGGGATTATTATTTAGTAATTAAATTTTGAAATTGTTGTTTAGTGAGTGTTTGTCAAAGTTTATTAGTGAATAAAGTAGTATTATTAGAGGATTTTTATTAGATTTTTTTGGAGAAACCTTGTTAAAAATTATATTAATTTTTGATATAGGATTTATGGTATGGTTTGTCATTAAAAAGCAGAGCATTATTTACTAAACAATGTTTGTTGTTGGTTAGTTTATAAGTAATAGGTTGGTTATAAATAGAACAAATATGTTGGTGTATAAATGGTGAAGGAGATGAGATAGAAGATGTTAAAATAAATTCAATAGAATCAACAATGTTTGTTGTAATTTGTTTTTTGTTCTTTGATTTTTTAGTAATTTGTCTAAATTCATTTTGTTTATATGTTAGATTTTTTGTAAGAGAAAGTTAGTATAAAACTTATCACAAATGTAACTAACAATACTTCTAGTTGTAGAAGCTTTAATATAGTAACAGTATTTAGTATTGCCTTTGAATTTGATATTGTGATATTAGAAATTGTAATACTGAATATCATGACTGATTATATAAAAAATGCATGAAATGCAATAAGTGCAATAAGTACAATAAATGTAATAAGTATAATAAGTTATATTTAAAATTGAAAATGGCATTTCAGATCTGAAAAGATAGATAAGAAATAAAGAGAAGAAATTACAGATATTAAATAAATATATGTAAATAGTTAATTAGTTTTAATAGATAAGTTGCATTTGCGAGTAATAAATTTAGTATTATAAATAAAACCTGAAATGACCTTAAAGAATGATATGTCTCATTTGTTTTAGCAATAAACAAGTCCCAATACATTGTAATCATCTATAATAAAACTCTAATACTATACCCAGTATAAATTCTGTAAACTCTAATAAATATTGTCATTTATGCAAGTTCTTGTTTATGTGACTTACCCTACTTACATTTATTGAATTAAAATAACTAAAAGTCTTAATTACTCATTAGTCAAATCTAATACTCTTTTCAAAAAGGTTACTTATTATATGTTATATGAAATATTGACTTGTGAAGCAACAGAGTCACAATCTTCTAAACCCAACAATATTAAAGTAGTTATTTGGTTGCTTGATAATAGAAATTGGATAAGAGAATAAATGAGATTTCTTGTAATAGGAATTAGGTAAGAGATAAATGAAGTTTCTTCAACAATTTCAATATCAAAATTTTTTGTAAAGTTTTTATAAAAATAATCAAAATCAACAGAGTTTGGTTTGAAAGTTATAAGAGTAGACATGTTGTAATCTAGCCAAAATAGCTTAAAGAATAAGTTTGTTTGTCTTTTTTAAATTAAATTAGAAATAATAATATTACAAAAGTAATATATAGAGGGTGCTAGTAGAAACTAAGTAAATTATTTTTATATAATTTTTTTTAAACTTTAAAGTAAAATATTTTAACAATTATTAAACCAAACTTGATAAATTTTTTTTATTTTAATTCTATATAGTTATAGAATTAAAATAAATAAAAAATTACCAAATTTGGTTTAATAGTTGTTAGGATATTTTAATTTAAAATTTTAAAAAAACATATTAAAAACAATTTGCTTAGTTTTTATTAGTACTCTTCTATATATTTTTTGAATATATTACTAGAACTAATATAATTATTGTAACTTGTATAACCTTGTATAATTTGTAATAATGCCTAAATTTAAATATACTAAAATTGTTAAAACTAGGTTTTCTGAAATTTTTTTTTCTATTTTGTAATTTTTAACTTGTTTATAAAGGTCTGAAAAGTGTAGAATTATAGTAAAAGCCTATTAGTCAATTAGAAAATTTTAATAAATACAAGAAAAGTGAATTTTTTGAGACACTTCTAAAAATTTTTCTAAAATTGACTTTGAAAAAACTTGTAAAAACAGCATTTAGGATTTGCTTTTTTGTCTATTTAAAATAAAATATATATCAAAATATTTATCTTAATGAGCTTAACAAAAAAACTCATAATAAAAAGAATATATTTAATTAGTAAAATTTTGAGCAAATAAGCAAAAACCAATAACTTGGTTTTTGTACTATTTTCAATAACCAGTTATTATTAGAGCTTTAAACTTAGCAGCGCAGAAGCAAAAAAGTGTACTGAACAATATTATTTAAAAGTACAAATAATGTTTACTTAATAGAGAACACAAATTGCTAACTCTTTTTAACAATTACTTGTACCAAAATTCTGCTAAAGAAAATTTAATTTTCTTTAATAATTTATAATTAAATATATCTTTTAAAAACCAAATAAAACTGTTCTTTATTATATTTTACATA